TCCCATCCATCCCAAACAATAAAAAATAATAAGGAAATAAAAGATACAGGAAAAACATTAATTAAAAAAGCTTAAAAAAAAATAAGAAATAATAAATATAATTATATAAAAAAGTAATAATATTTGATCTGTAGCTACATGCTTCCGGTTGAAGTGTTCCATCAGGTTTGCCGCTATTTATTATCATGTACCATAGTTTATTCTGTTTACTAAACGTTTAAATGTAGTAAAAATTTTAATTTTGAAAGTTAATCGGTGAAAGTGGCCAGAAGTTACATTACTACAACAGTCCAAAAGCTAATGAAACGATTTCGAGGTCGGGATATTCGAACCCAGAATCAATGTTTTGGAGTACGATTGGCTTATGCAATTCGGCCACTGGGGCGGTATTGTACAGACGCATGATTAAACGTTGAGATGGGACAACAGATATCCCTCGTGTTTATTTATAGATGGTGTACAGATTTTCAAGGTTTTTCTCGCAAATCACATTTGTCGGAAGTTAGCATTTTCTTCCAGAAGATTGAGAGCAGATACTTATGGGGCGCCAAGTGTCGCATGGACTGATTTTCGTACGAATCATCTGATTTCGTAAACGAATCAAGCTCTACAATAGTGATATTCGTTACGAAATCCAACTGCTGTGAGTGATTTCGTTACGAAACAGCTATGCGAGTTGATTTCGTTACGAAGATCAGCGTATGCGATGATTTCGTTACGAATCATGCACACTTTGTGCGCGGCCCGGCGCGCCAGTGTCGCATGACTTGTTTCGTGTGACAATATCATTGATTTCGTAACGAAATCAAGTCTACAAAAGTGATTTTTCAGTTACCGAATCAACTACTGCAAGTGATTCGTTAGAAATTCAGGCTACCAGTAAAAACCCGCGTATAAGAAGCATAGATGCTAAGACATGTGTAGGCTAAAATTTCCCATTAGACCCCTGTTATATAAAACCTGTTTTAGGCTAAGATTTTAAAGGTGGGTAGTTTATTTCATGCGTAAAGACTTAAATAAGAAACCAGCAGGTTAAAATCAAAAAGACGAGCTCAACAATTTCGATGCCAATAACAATGCGCGCAATGCCATGCCAATGCCCTAACAATGGCACAATTGCCCAGCACCCTGATTTGTATTGAGACACGGTACTGCATTTATTTACATATACAGTTAAAAACGCATAAAAGAACACCTTACACATTAACACTACTGTACTGGGAACACATGCATCACAGGTCACTAAGCCCGCGCGTAGGCGGGTTTCAGCTGTACATATTAAAAGTGAGAAAAACAATGTTGAAGAACCGATGGCATGGCATGGCATGGCATGGCATCGGATGTCATTAGATGGCATGGGATGCGATGAGATGGGATGGGATGGGATATGGGATGGGATGGGATACGGTGCGATGGGATGGGATGGGATGGCATGGAATGCGATGGATGGATGGATGCATGGATAGATAGATAGTTAGATTTTTTGGGGTATTTTCCTTTCAACCAAGCGGTCACCAACTGAGTAACGCCACTGATTTCCCCGGGTAACGCCGGGTATCCCGCTAGTAATACAGTATATCAGTGGGCATATACATAATACACGTCAAAGACTTTATACTTGTGATAAACTATTATAAAACTGTACTATTAGGTATGTACTGGGCGTCCATGGGACAGCTAAAATGCGTCTATCGATGGATTCGCACGTAGAGGTGTGACATCGTATACTACGGTACGCGAAGATTTTGCTTATAGCACTTTAAAGGAGAAAATAAACGCGGAATTTCGCTTTCCGTCGATATCCGGCGGCACACACAAAAGGTTGAAAGCTTGTTTCGTCTCTCAATGACGTCACAGTGTCGTCATATTCATGGCACATCTATAATGAAGCAGTCCAATAATCCTGAATAGCCGAATGCGTAGAGCACGAACGTCACGTCTGAAATGTCGTTGGATCGAATCCCATTTATGTTTTAATTATTTTCCTGTTTTCTGTATTTTTCTATCTTTCATCCATTTAACTATTTTTTCCAATTAACGCAAATATTTACGCAATTAATTTTTACAAAAATAAAAATACAAAAATTTAATTACTTTTTTAAAATAGGGTTAGGGTTAGGGTCACAATGCACCTTAGAACAGGAGTTTGAGTCCGTACGAACGTGACGACACTGACGTCATTGAGCGACGAAACAAGCTTTGAACCTCTGGTGCGGCACACAGCGAAGCAGACGAATTTGTACATGGAGATTGACTGCCAGTGTCATCTCGCGACGAAAAATCAAATAAATATTTCAGAAAACAAAAATTAACAAACAAAAACTGTTATTTTGCGGTGTACTCGTGTGTTGTAGACAGAAATAATATAAGTAGACTCTATATATTTCTATCTATATGGTTGCAGATCAGATAATAATTTAGACGGCATTACAAGAAGAATTACCGGTAAAAAAAAATAAGGCGAGAAAGGAGAGTAGGGCCTAGATGAAACATTAAGAGGATTTTGAGTAATTAGCGGCATCCTTTAAGATTTACCATCCTTTTATTATTTACCCGATTTATTATTGCTCTATAGAACTATATAGTCCTTCGCTCTGCCACAGGCTCTGCCACAGGCCTGTGGCAGAGCGAAGAGCTATTTTATTAGAGTAAAATGTAGCATTTATAGCATGCTGTGGTGGGCAGCAAGTTTCTATAGAGTCGTAAAATAAAGATTCCGCTATAGTCTCGAAATCGCGTAAACTTATTTGGTGGTCAGTATGTTGTGATGTAGGCCATTGATATAGTATGATAATATATAATATATAAAATATATAATATATTATAGATATACGCACAAGCGTCTTCAGCACACAACACACACAATAACATCAGTCGCAATAAAAGAAGAAAAACGACATCCAATTACGTATCAGTCATAAACATCACAGTATAAAATCTACTGATTGTGTACGTTTATGCTTGTCTATAAGACACGTATAAAATAATTTACTAATCGAACAAGTATTGTGTACGTTGTTTAACACCCGTTGGCCAGGAACCCACATACAAAAGATTTCTGTTAACGTTGCAAAACTTTATAAAAACGTTATATAAACGCTTTTGCCCTAGCTGGGCACGTGCGACTCTAATCTTCAATTAATATTGTTACATTACCAGATATATAATGGTTAACTATATAATTCCTAATAATATCCCAACCTAGAACGTTCACTAGCTGTTTCAGTATTCAACGTTTCAGTGTTTCGGCGTTTACTGGTTCAGGGTTTCAACTACTGCATTACCGAAGGTGTGTCCCCTTGCAATTTAAGATTTCCCGATTGTTTGAGGCGAACTCGACCGTTTCTCAGATCAACCGTTAACGGCTTCATTATTGCTTGAGAACAGTTCCATGATCAGGACGTTCCAATTTCATAATCAAGGGACAGCCCGGGTAGCGTCGAAATAAAAAGACCCGGGATACACACATTTTGCTTACGTCACATAGAGAACGCAGCGCTGCCGCTATTAAAATTTACAAATGCATGAATGGTGTTATGTACCCTTTTAATAAAGCAATTTGGACTGTTTTAAAAAGTCCAGTGGGGCATGTTATATACATGTGAGCTAGTACGTCTTCAAAAGTGCCAGTATATCAGCTGAACCAGAAGAACTCTTACAGAGCGGCGGTCATCCCTTGTCTTGGCGTCATTTTCTCGTCGTGGCCATTACGAAGACTGGGTCATGTGATTGTGATTTCGTTTGCTGGCAGAGAACTTGCTAGTAAAAGGATACTGGCGCCTTTTTGTCATTCCCCGGAATCCAGCCTTGGTAAAAATTGTGCATCCATGATATTATGACTTCGTAATGTGAATACGGCAAAACGTAGAAAAATCTCATTCGCAGGTTTACGTTTTTGGGCAAATACAGGTTACTAAACTTACTTAGTTACTTACTACTATATACTTACTAAGTACTAGTATAGGCCTAGTACTAGTACTACTACTACTAGTACTACTACTAGTACTAGTGCTCGGTTCTATGCTTGGATTAGGTTATGTTTTAGGCAGTGGCTACGGGTACGGTAGCCGTAATCTTAATGGACATCTCAGTCTACGGGTACGTGCGAGTCCATTTCGCTTTCATACTAACTGAGACAAAAGAATGGCGGCTGGTGGCGCTATGATTTTCGAAATAACGCCTTGGGAAATATAATTTCACGATTTGAGATGTTTTGAAATGAGGGCTAGACCCTAAACCCTAAACCCTAACCCTAATCCCTAACACCATCAACCCTCAACTAACCCTAAACCTAAACCCTAATCTCTATATTCCTAACGCCTAGACACCTAACGGCACCACCAAAAAGGGGCTTCCATACGACGTCGATTGGCTACCGGTTACCCAGTACGCCACTGTGTTTCAAGATAGGGCTTTAATCAGTTTATGGTTAGGTTAGGGATATGGTGGTATTGTTGAGTTTTTTGTGCTTGGGAGTCGGATCCTAACGTAAGAATATGCGTATGAGACCATAAAGAGCGAAGAGAAGGGAGATAGATAGAGAGAGAGAGAGAAAATCACCGTGACTCACTGGTGAGTTGGTCGCTATTTTTCGATTGCCTTTTTGAGCCAAAAGCTGTTTAAGCCCGGCTGCACACACGTAGTTATTTAGCATCCACACGTAAAATGACGCCTGAGTCAAATGACTCGACGAGAATTCCGCCGCAGAACACGTGAGTAAATATGACAGGACAGTGCGTCAGAATTACCTCAACGAAAAATCTGCCGCACAGGTGAGTAAAAATGACTCGAATGCGCGTCATTTTTTAATCTTGAGTTAAAGAATAACTCAGCGTGTGCGCCGGCTTTATTAATTTAGTTCCTTCAACCCAAGGGCAAGTGATTCTCATGAAAGTATAAAAAGTCTGATTTCGCTACATTTTTTTTAAGGAAAAATTGATTTCTCAAATGACCAATGTATACATGCGCATGTTGCGTGTCAAGTAATCGGGATATATTAGAATAAGAATCACTAAAAGTTTAAAGGAAAAACTACTTCACACTTAGTTCACGGCTCATAGTGGACAACAGCAAAGCGCTAGAAACTCGTGAAAATTTCTCCAGCTAGCCCAAATACTAAAATATTCGGTGCCAGTAAAGATTGAATCCACTGGCTCGACACATAAACTTATCGAAGCCTGAGAAGACAACGTTCTCCCACAAGAAGGCCGCTTCTTAGTAAGAAAAAGTTAGCTTAAGTCTGGTCCGGCTAACTAAAATTCTTAATGCATGTATAATGTGAAGATACAGGCGGAGTCAGTTTAAGCATGTATGAGACCTGAGAGAACTGTGTGTCATCTTTACATGAATTGAGAGAACAACACCATTGGCTAGCGGCCCAGCTGTAAAGTTTGCCTGTGCATGCAGGCTGCATAAATTTGTGTTTAAAGCCGCTACATGTCGCATGGCCGGAACCCAAACTGGCTAATTTCATCCAGTACCTAGACTAGCTAAATTATCTTCGTTGTCATGAGCATAGTCACTACAACTTATTGGCAAAATAAACTCTTAGTTCCTCCCCGATATTCACTGCGCGTTATCTTATTACAAAGGTATTTAAGAAAATACCTCCAATGTTGTTCAAATCTACTCGATTGTTGTTGACAAGTTTTCCCAGGCAACCGTGCAGCGGGCAGCGGTGCTGCGGTACAGCGGTACGGGTGTAGCAAAGATAAAAACATGTGACGTCACCCTAACCACTTCGAGGCTATCTTGTTTGGCAAATAAGCCGGCGTTAGCGCCAGAATGCCAGTTTTCTCACCTCTTTCTTGTGGGTTTTAAGCAAACGCGCAGTGAAATGGGAGCAACTAGAGTTTATTTTGTCATAAGGTAGTGTGATTATGCATGCCCCGAAGTGTTTGCTAGTCTAGTACTGGAAAAATTAGCATTTGGATGCGCATTGTGCAGCTTTAAGAGGGAAAAAAAATTATTATTTGAGTTTTTCTGATACTCAGCCAACTGAAATTTTAGGCGATGTATATAATATATTGCATACAGTTGGCAAAAAGGTAATCGCCCAGCAGTTCATTCTTGGGCGACTGGGGATGAGTGTTTAGGCAAGTTTCACTCGCCCGACAGTCTTTTTAGTCACCTGTGGCGACCGAGCGACCGGCCTTGTCGAGCGCTGGACAACAGAATATCAAATATAGGGTAGGCAGTCAACAATTGCAATAAAAGTTGGTTGTAGTAGTAGTTGCTTGTAGAGTTATGTCATGTGATTCAGGAAATGTACGACATGCGTGCAGCGCAAGTGGGCACATAGGAGTGTGCTGTCCTGTGTGAAATTTGGTCAAAAGTTTATTACCTGTTTCATTTCTTAAATGGTGCCTCTGGGCAGCTATGTATGTGTACATTATTGTATGTGGTCTCCCAAACAGTTCAAAATCGCCGCATATGCTTACCTGGCTATTGCAAACCCCGGAACGTCATTAGCGCTCGCTATCCCAGCATGCGAATCAGAAATGCTGTTACAGCTGTTTTGAACATCCTGTTGATGCACACGTTTGTTTACATAGAGATGATAACGTGACTTCATGCATTAATTAGCGGGTGGTAAACGGGAGATTGAAACAGATCAGTTATTTTGTCAAGTTATTTACAACAACGCAACGTTTTTTAAAGTTTGTTTATGGTAATCAGCAACAGATAGGTCGTAGTGAGTATTAAAGCGTGTATTGCGAGAATTTTCCAGTGTTTTCCCCACTTTCATGATACCTACTATTATTGCTTGAGTAACAGCAATTGTCTAAAGTAACAATAAAATGTATTAGAACCTTTGTATTCACTGAAAACTGCCAGTTTCGAACTAATCGTTTTGTAAACATTCGTTTTCTGTCATCTTGAACTAACAGGAAGTATGCATTAGCTTGTGACGCCACCGCTTATCTTCCATACCCACAGTACAGGCACGCACTTGTTTTCAATTCATCACCGACACAAATACAAGTTTACCAATTCTGCCATTAGGCATCAATTGTAGCGACACGATAAAATGCATTGCTGTTACAATG